TTTCTGCCAGTCATGTTTACTTGAATCTGTTTAGGGGGAGGAAAAACTAAAAGAGAAGGGAGGTAACATCTGAGTCAAAACATATAAGCAAATAAAAACTTTTACCCCAAAGCAGAAATGTAAATCAACATTGTATTAATCAGGAGAATTTGATGTGAGGTGTGAAATTAAGTCCATGAGAAACCTGACTCTTTCTCTCTTTTCTGTTTCTCACCCTGGGCAGGTGGCACATCTCAGATTCCTGAGGTAGCATGATCTTTGCTCCACTCCTTTGGATGTCTGACAATTTGTTAATCCACAAGGAAGCCTTTTTTGCAAGGGTCTTCTTTAACAATCTCATGCAAACAGCATGAAGTGGTCAAAAGAATAACTCTTGTTTAATATTTGTCTTGTCCAGTTGCGAACAGGGAACATGTAGACATACATGCAGGTACAAACTAAAACTTCTTCGTAAGGGCAGGCAGGGTGGCTGAACCAGTACCTGGAATACCCTTAAGAAACAGATGGGGCAGGGGCAGGACTAGACAGAGGAGAGGAGCCACTTGTCTTGGGCACCAGATTTAAGGGGACACCAAAAACTTCAGTAATCAAGATAAATTGACAGTTTAATATTTAAGAAAATCCAATGCCAAAAAAAAATCCATGATGAATAAAATATCTGAATTTTAAATAAAGACAGGATAAATAGTGATTTTAATGCTGATATTTAAGTACTGCATTTCTCAAGTCAGTAGGGGTTACACAGATAGCAGAAGAGTGGCAGCTGCTGCTGTTTATATGAGCACCTACAGTGTGCCAGGGACAGTGTTCAATACCTTACAGGCATTTTCTCTTGATACGTTTTGGAGGGACCCTATTCATCCTACTGTAAATCCAAATCTATTTGATAATAAACCATATTAGAAAAAGAGTTCCTTTACAGGCTCCATAAATTCCATTACAGCCCATTTTGTCTTTGTTAAACATATGAGCTGAAAATTACAATCCCTTTATTCACCATGATCATTTTAGACTCACAGCTCAAAAAGAACAGCATTAACTTAAAAAAATATATTAGCATGCTTGTATCTACTAAGCACCATTGCTTTGTAGGCTCCAGCTGATGATTTTATTAAGTATTTTGCAAGAGGGGAAAAAAAATTCAAGGATAATTAGAAATTCATAAAAACATAATTCATTGGCATAAAGTGATTTTTGTGGAATGGGATGGATGCAGAATTATCTATTTCCTCATGAAAATAACAGAGATGTTCTGATTAAGCCCATAATCTAGTATATGTGATAGTCTAGCCAAACTGATGGGGTACATTTTCTTTTCTGAAACTACCTTTGATAAGAAATGCATTACAAACTCATCAGTTTGGCTTCCTGTTAACAAAGAGACAGGAGCCGTCTGGATCATTCTGGATTCACAGTGAAACTGCCACACCATGTAGCCTCCAACTGAAGTCGTGCGAGTTTGACAAGGGGCAGATGAATCTGGGAGTTATTGTGCAGAGGTTTAAATCTATGCGGCAGCTGACGGTTGAAATAATCATCTATATATCGCTCTGAGCTAGCTGGGGAAAGGTTGAAGCTGTATATTTTCAACCTATCTAGTCTAATGGTTAATCTGTTGTCTTGTACAGGCTCTTGCAGAGTAGACTAGAGCCACACACTGACAGCTTCAAAGAACTGCTTATGGTAGATGTGGTTTGACTTGATTCTTAAAGTGCAGGGCAGATGAATCTCACTTAACTTGAGTTGGAACATGGGACAGTCATCTGACTGGTTTCCTCACATGCAGGGTGACTTGCAGGACTGAGAGCCAGCTGGGTGGTAGAGACATTTGAGTCACTAAACTACCTGTCTCTCCCCACTTCCCCAAATCTGAGTATATGAAGTGGGCTCCATGTTTGTTTCCTTTATTGTTTGGCTGCCTTGGTGAATTGCGAAGAATACTGTGCTTTTTCAAAAACTGGAAACCTGGAAAAATGTGAGAAGATAAATGAGAGAAGGGATCAGTGAACTTTTTCTGTCAAGGGCCAACTAGTGAATATCTTTAGGCTTTGCTAAATATCTTAAGTCATATAGTCTCAACTCCTTTGTTGTAGAGCGAAAGGAATCCTAGAGAGAAACAATTAGCCAGGTTCTGATAAAACTTTATTTATAGCCACTGAAATGTGAATTTATTATATTAATGTGTTATGAACTATTCTTAGATTTTTTTCTCCCAACCATTTTAAAAATGTAAAACCCATTTTTAGTTCATGGGCTTTACAAAATCATGTCCTAGACCATAGTTTGGTGACTCGGGAACTTGAGAAATAGGAAAAGAAAGAAGGCAGCTGTTGGTGCCAGGGACTTGGCAGGTTTCATCCCTAATCCAAAACCTGTCTCCCACAAACAGGTACGGCACATGCCGGGTCTACAAAAAGGACTCAGGTATACTTTTTGGCTTTGAAGCCTTTCCCATCTCCTTGGTGTTGAGAGTAAGGAGCAGGAAGAAAAGGAAAGGAAAGTTGAGAAGAGGCTGTTTTTGTTGGACTCCTGTACATGTTTTTTCCTAGTTTGGGAGTAAAAGTCATCTTCCATCTTCTATTACTTTCCCCATCTCCAACCTCCGTAGTAATCATTCAAGGAAATTCTTGCATCTCTTATTTCAGTTGTGTATTTGTTTTTAGAATTCCATTGTTAATCTCTGCGTCTCATCTCTGAGAAGCTAATATCTAGTGATCTTTGCTTGAGAATCTTCTTTGCCCATGAGATAATAGTAACTAACAGTCTGTTTTGAGAAAAAAAAATTAAAGAAAAGAGCCAAAGGCAACCAAATCTCCAGAAGGGATTTCCTGCCGGACACTGAGCAGAACGGAGCATTGGGCAAGTTACTTTAGCAGGTCAGGTTTTGACTGAAGATATATGAGCTGAGTGTCTGGATACAGGAGATTTTGATGAACGTTGGACTCCGAACAGGATACAGAGAACTTGAGGCCTACGGTTTGAGATGGGAGCCCATGGTTTCAGTAGGCACATCGGATCGCCCAGTTTGATTTTAGAGCATCTGTTAGGCCCATGGTGTTTCTGTAGAGAACGCTGCTGTCCAGGTCGTGTGGATTCTGTTAGTATACTTATATAGTGTTTTTTCTCCCTCCTATGTAGGAGCTGAATTCTTTCATAACACTGTGTTGATGGACTAAAACTTACACAATTCAGGTTTCCTAGGCAGTGAATAGAGCCAGAAATATACCCTGTGATTAGCGTCTACATAACCTATTGTTCCTTAAAGTCTCCCTCCTCATTCTCCTATTAGCTCCACAAAAGCCAGAAATGAGAAAGCTCCAACGAGCCTCCCCCTCCTTCCCTGTCCCCTCAGCCTACCGTAGGTGCCCCCCAGGCTGTGCTAGGGTGAGGCAAGCCAGGTGGAGACCCTTTCCCTCCTTATTTTACATAATGACGGGTGGTGGTTGTTTTTAAGCTACATCCTCTAGGTTTTGCAAGTAAATATGTTTCCTATTTCATAGCTAGACATTGTGAAGTCATTCCTGCCTTCTAATGTATGTGATAAAGTGGTTGCTCAATTGCAGAGTGTTATGTATGTGATATGTTAAAGATGTGATTATGGTCAGCATTGTGATAATCTTTTCATTATCTGTGTTTTAATGTTTGCCATGATCTTTCAAAAAATAGCTTTATGGGTTAATTTTATCGGTAACATGGCAAAGCGTTCACCCAACTTTTTGGTGGCACATGTTGTCCCAAGCTGGTCAGACCAGAAACTCTCATTCCAAGGACTCCTCCATGTTCTGATACTGAACTGCTCACTGACCCTCTAGGCAGAGAACTTGGCTCTGATGCCTGGCTTACCCTATCTTGCTGTGCTTAGCTGCTCAGCTCATTCATGGGCATGGGGCATTCCCCACTACAGGATTCATCCTAAAACAATAGTCAAGGGCTCCTTTATAGCAAAACCAGGGCTAAACTCACCAAATGGGTTATTTAGCTGGTATTTGTTGTTGTTTTTCCTTCATTGCTAATGGAAACATCCACACCTTCCTACTAGTCTGGTTTGTGTGACAGCCAGCCAGGGCTCTGGTAGTCTATGATTATAGGACAAAAATGTCCCTCCAGAAAGCAGGCACCGTCTGCTCTCCAGTGCAGGGACTGCTGTTCCCTGGCCATATTGTAAGACCTTGAGAGTTAACCAGGCAGATTTTCTGGTGAAGGTCTTAGGCTTCCCATCATATTAGAGAGAGGTCAGGTCAGTTTGGGAGGTTTGTCCATTTTGAATTACATATTGTAAAATGATTGTATTATTATGTCTTACATGGTTTCCTTTGGGGGAAAGTTTGGTAAACCTACAGAACATAGGAAGCACACTGTTAGATTCCTTGTCTGGCAATTTCACCTTCTTTTTTCACCCTCTGTTCTAGTAAAACAATATTTGCATCCTAAACGACTGAAAACACACACCCACTTTTCACTTTCGTCACTCACGATACAAGGAGATGTGACACATCCCCCTTTCTTAGGAGGGGCATTTAACAAAGTTAGACAGCAATGTCACAACCAAGGGGGCCTGACCAAGCCAGCGGTATGAGATGAAAACAAGAGTTTGGAGAGTCACTGACACAGAATACAGTGATTATTCAGGAGGATGCATTTCAGCAGGCTACAGGAGATAATCGGTCTGCTCTTGCTTCTCAACTGAGTTTTCTGTGTCTGCGTGTATCATAGAATAGAGAAGGAGCTCTGTATGTTTTTTAAAACTATTTGTACAACCAAGATTGTCTTCTGACATATTATCCCTTCTGATGTCGATGACAATAACACAGCAAAAAGAATTTCAAGAAGTTACTGGGGAAAAGAAAAGAAAAAAAAAACCCTGCCATTTGTCTGTGAGAAACTACCATTTTGATTTAAGCTGTAATTCTGCTCAGTGTTAAAGTGAGTTTGGAACTTCTCTAATGAAAAATTTCACAAAGGATTAATTTCCATTTTCTTTTCTCATTATTGTTTGGCAGCCAAGGTTGAAGCTAGATCACGCTATCCCAAAGACCCATTTGAGTTCAAGAACACAACTCACAGTTCTCGGCTTGTGACCGAGCCAGGTGAAGGAGTTCTGGGACTCATCCCAGTTTTTAACAACTGCACCCCTCAGTTTTCTCTCTTAACATGCTAAGTTTAGGTGAAGGAAAGAGATTTCAGCATGCATTTAGCTTATGGGGCAGCAATGTAGCAGAGAAAAACCATAAAAAACAATAATTTAAACTCCCCTACCCCAAAACTAGCTGCTTGCTCAAGACTTCAGTCAGAAGCCCTGTTAGCTCCACGCCTTTGCATTCAAGCCACTTGCATGCCTCTTACTCTGAGTGATTCCAGTGTGAATATGACATTACTAATGACCTGCTAAGTGTGTGCAGATGTGGGTTCTCCAGATGTGGTGATTAATAAGGTAATGGAGATAGCCAGTCCTCTCATGTTTATGGATCGTTTGCCTTTTATTAGGTTTCCCAGTTTATTAGCTTTGAACTATTTTTTAACTCCAGCCAACAAACTTACCTTTAAATGGCAAAGGGCATCATTCCCCTAAACCCTGTTGAGGAAACAGGGAAAAAGGAACATGCCCCAGGCTGGAGCTGAATATCGGGCCCATCCCATGTCAGCACTGGACTACTCAGGAAACCCCATAGTTAGAATTGTTGCCCCATTTTCCTTAAAGGGCCCACATAGAGGCATGGGTAACTTTGGCACCGTGTTTGCAAGCTGGCTAGGCCAATAAAGAAAGGGATTTCTTTAAAAAAAAAATCCAGTAAAATATATGATCATCTTGAAGTAAGCCCCAAGTTCTGGCCAGTGTTTCTGGAAGATATAGCCTTGCCTGTGCTTGAAAACAGAATGCCGGTGAAAAGTCAAGTAAAATGTTGTTACAGATGTTCGATTCTGCATTAAGGCAGTTGGAATTACTACTGCATCTTAAATCAATTCCCAGAACATTGTCTGGAGGTTATGTCATTGAAATAATGAATCCTCTTTAGTCAAGTATAAGCAAACATGTTAAAACATCATTGTAACTTTAAATTAAACGCTAGTGCAAAGCCAGGGATCTGAAGCCTCATTAGACTTGCCTGACATTTTTCTAGCACAGAGTCTTCCCAAACTGTAAAACTGTTAGATTCAGTGCCTATTAGACAAGCGAGCCCTGGGAAGTTAGAACAGCACATTAAGTGTTATACTGAGGGATGTGCAAAAACAAGCCCTTGAATTTTATGAGTACTTGGAGACTGGATGGAGTTCAGCTCCTATAAAAATTCCACATTGGATTCCTGAACTTGTTTGTATTTTAAAGAAGCCGGCTTCCACAGCATGCTGCAAGTGAAAATGCTAGAGACAGACGTGTATTGTAATCAGCTAAAAAGCAGGCTAAACATGAACCTGTAAATGCGCCTTGGCATGAAGCAGGGGCCCATTACTCCAATACATTTGTCTTTTGTGAAAGTAAGAAAATTTAAGTCTCCCTTTTAATTCCATGAAATGAACATTGTATTTTATAGCTTAACTAAAAGTTTTCCTAGATCTGCTTTCTTTAAATATGCAGAAACTGATAGAATTCATATAAGGGATAATAATTAAATATGCTTTACATTCTACTTATGAGAAAGAAGCTACCACATTTTCTCTTGTGGGATCTAAGCCATATGTAATGGTCTCCATTACACAACATTCATATATTTGAGCTGGAGATATTTTCCCCCATCTCTTCAGGGAACAGATCTGCATTTCCAGGCTGTGAGTGCAGGAGGAAACCTTTGAACATGAGTTTCATTTAAGAGAACAAATCCCAGTTTAAATGCAGTATGATTATGATGGATGATCTTTCTGAGTTGCAGCGAAAATAAATAGTTTCCTTGCATAGGAGGAGGCATAACTTTAGCATCAGAATAAGGTATCTCCCTGGAGCTGGCTAAAAGGCATTAACTTGCAACTCTTCTATCTGAAGATCATTGCAGGTAAACAAACAGTGACAAGGTGCAAGGATAATGGGCACTTAACCAAAGTGGGTTATTTATTATAGGCCTAGTGCAAATGGGGAAACAGAAGTTAAGCAAAAGAATCCAACAGAAATGCCAGTGAGTGTGACTTCTGTTCAGGCCTCAACTAATCCAGACTCACTGTATAACTGGACAAAACCATTGCAATGTCTGGTGGCCTTGATAAAGCTAGCCATAGTAGACTACATCGTGTAGAAGACCTGGATATATTGTTCTAATCATAAGAAGGCTTGACAGAGAAGAAGAGAACTTTCACCCTCACTAGACCCACTTAACATGCAAGCACATTATTTAGTCCTTCTTGCTACTCAACTAATCTAAATCACCCTAAACAGAATACAATAATCGCAAGTGGTCCATGTTAAAAGGTGACCTGGTATTGTGGTGGAGTCAGTGTAAGAATTCCTACTCCATCCTAAGATGGGAAACGTACAAAAGTACACACACACACACGCACACACACACACACCCCTTTCCCCTCTCTCTCTGTCTCACTGACTTTCTACCCCATTATCACCTGGCATGCCTGGCCCCCTATCCTGTGAAAGGAAGATGAATTTAGGTCAAGCTCAGGGTGCCTGTTTGCTTGCCGAGAGATGCATATCTACTTTAAGTGATTTTTTTCAATACCATTTATGTGGCTTGCATTTATTTCCTTTAATCTCTTAAGTGCTGTTTAGTCTCTGTGTGATTTGCTGTGGATACTCATTTCTGATAAGATGCGATATCCTCCCAGCCATGCAGTTGCTGCCTGGAGCCCTAAGTGACTGATATGGTTGCAGCCTGAGCCTGGGCCTCTGGGGGCCAGGGCTCGGGGGAGGCTGGGAATGATATTTGCAGGGGTTTTCTTGCCTTTGTTTCTTCTGGTATTAGTCTCACCTCAAACCACATTCTTGCTCCCTTTCCATGTGTCTACCAAAATTTAGACAGCCCCAGACTGGTGGTAGAATGGGGAGTATACCAGGTGTGATGCTTTGAGCAGGCTTGGAGGGTAGCTGGATTATTATAATCCCTTGGAATCAGGGATCATAATGTGCTAATTTTATTTAGGGTTTTCAGGGAAGTACCACACAGTGCATGTCCTGGCATGGGTCTTCCTGTATAATGTCAGGTAGCTGAGATGGCACTTTTTTCCCCACCTAAGACTTGTACCCCATTAATATACGTCAAGCTTCTTTTGATGTCATCACTCTAGTATTTCTCTTCTTAGATTTAAGGTAACTGCCGTGCATTCTAAGTTTCGAGGCTGCTTCCTCCAGTCTGTGTTGCCGTTGACTATAAGACTCCGGGAATCCTATTTTTCCTTCTTGACATTACAGCTTCAGCCTGAATTGTGGGGTCGGGGAGAGGAGGACTAGAACTTTGCCGCTGATGCCCCTGGGTCACAGGCTGGGCGTAGGTCTGCTAATTATCAAGCAGCTCTCTGAAAAGGAGGCATGATGCAGACTAATACATCTGTAAAGCTTATTAGTGGGTGTCTTTGGGCAAAAGCAGTAGAGTGTGCCGTGTTGTTTGTGAGCGAAGCTTCACATTGCTTAGCGATCTGTGTGGTTTAGGCATTTGGAAAACAGCCTTTGGTTTCTAATCCCCTTTGCTGCCCTCCGCCCCGCCTCCTCCCCATTATCAGAAATACATTCAGTGGCAACCTCCTCTTCCATCGGGGCCCTCTTCTCCCGCCAGGTCCTCCAAGCTCGCAGCCCAGTCCTAATGAGTTACGAAAGAATGCCATGAGCTCGGCCCCACGTGCCCACCCTCTTGGGAGGTGGAGAGGCAAGAGCTGAGTTGGGCTGGGGCTTCTCGAGCCAGCATGCACCAGTGTTGCCAGTCCCGAAGAAACATTGGTTGTGAGGCCCTCATATCCTTGCCTCTCTCCAAGGCTGTTCCTCTGCGTGCAGGGATTTGGAACCAGTTAAATTGGTTCATTTGCAGAGCCAGCAGGCCAGCAGCTATTATGCTGCTATTTCATGTACGACTTTATTTCTGATTTTGGTTATGAGAAAACCCGTTGGATTTACGCAGCAAGTAGCCAAAATCAACTCTAGGAATAATGATCCAGTATTCCCATGTCTAGCTATTTTGTATGCTGATAAATCGTGATTGCCCTTCCTTCTAGTGGCAGGGTGTTTACACACTGTCGCGGCTGTTTAAAGGGCATGTGCAAGTGCTGGAGTGTGGAGAGGTGACGCATTTGCCCTCTCCTAAGCCGGCCTCTTTGACTAACGCATTTGACCCCTGTCGCTGGGTCCCAAAAGACAGCCGTGAATTCCTAGTGAGTGACTGAGCCGTGCGTGTGTGTCCTTTGATATCTTCCCTGTATTTCACAGTCTGCCCTCAAAGTGTTCATAATCTCATGAGCTGCCTGTATTTCCAGTTGAAGACGAGCAGCCATCGACGCTGTCACCAAAAAAAAAGCAGCGGAACGGAGGCATGCGGAACTCGCCGAGCTCCTCGCCCAAGCTGATGAGGTAAGGAGAGGGCCCGCGGCCGCATGGGCGCCCCCTCCAGCGCCCTCTCCCCAGCACCTGGCCACTCCCCTTCCAGCCCAGGCCCGGGCCTCCCCTCCGCGGCCAGCGGGGGGGGGGGGGGGGGCGGGGGAGGGGACAGGACCGTCAGATGGCTTCTTAAAGGCTGGAGTATTTATTCTGTCAGCTTGTCAGCAGTTAATGATAGAGCTGAAAAAATTCTGTCATGAAAAACAGTTTGAAAAGCCGTTTGAAAAATACATAGGCTTTAAAGTCGTAGCTGTCACCGTGTCCCGTCTGTGTGTAGTTCCTAAACAGCCGTGGCACTAATGATGGCGGCGACCAATCGGAGGGACACACGCGGTTAGTGTGCTGCCGGCAAGTCTTTCTGCGGAGCCCCTCCGAGGACTGTTGTCTGCACTGAAGGCCATATGTGAGATGTATCATCACAATCGGAAATGAACCTGAAGATTACCTTCCTTTGATCCTGTCGATTGAAATCAAATTTCTGTTAATTGACTTTGACTGATAAAAAAGTCTAATAATCTGTGGACTTGCCAAAGCAAAGTTCAAACGTACTCCAGTTGTGCTCAGGCTAAAAGCAATATTAATTATGAAATACAGTGTTTTCTCTCTCTCCCTTCTTCCTTTTTTCCTTGCTTCCCTTCTTTCTGTCTTGACAGTGGCTTCCTCTAGGAAATGGCATATGAACCCAAATTTCAAAGAGTTCTGTGGCTCCTCCTCATGGCCTCTTTATCTTTCATCTCTCCTTTTTGTCATCCATCTGCCAATCCCAGGACTTACTTCCTCTCACGTCCTAACTCTGCAGCCCTTCAGGGAAACATGAGCCATCTCAGACTTGCACTGCTTTCCCTAAATGGTCACTCATGGTGACACCTGCCATCTTGCTGTTACTTTCTTTTCATTACCACTGGCCACGCTCTTCCCTTTGATTATTGAAATAAAATTATGGCAACTTCCCCTGCCTTCCTCTTTCCCCACACATCCATATCTTCCTGGCCCCCCCGAGATCACCTTTCTAGGGTGTAGACCCAGGCAGCCCTTCTCCATGCCGTTGAGGGCACAGGTTCTGGTGGAAAACTCACCCAGCCCCATGTACTTTTCCATATAATCATCTCTTCCTGCTAAATGCTTCCTTAACTGGTCTCTGCCTGCCCCTTTGCTCAGTCTTGCTTGGGTGTTGCTGATTTACATGCTTGTTTACAGTTTATGAGGAGGAATAAAATGCACCAACTGCCAAGCTTCTCATTTTTATGATGTGACTTGTCATGCTAGCATTCATTTCCTACTTACTCACCTTTAGGTAATCGCCTTGTCTCATGCTAATAGTTTTATCCATTAAAACTAGAGAAAAGCCCTGGCACTTTCTTTTGCCTAAATTTAGAGAAGCAAATAAATAAATAAAGAGAAGTCTGAAAAATCTGAAACCTTTGGAGCCACATTCCCTGTCCCTGTTTGCTATGTAAAGTATGGCTCATTTCTTTGATCTTGAGTAATAATAATTCTGAGGCGTTATACTGTTTTCATATGCTTCAAAGCTGTGTCAGAGTTTTGCTGCTTAAGGGTACTTCTTTATTCTGTTGGCCCCTGGGTACCAAGATGACAGGTCTTCTGTACGAGGTGGAAGCTTTTTTAAGTCATAGCCTTCAGCAAAACATCAAATTACCAAATCCAGGGTAACATACTTCTACACAAATGCCTTTCCTGTAGATATATTATACCATATATATTAAATACTTCAGTGTTACATGCTACATTTTATGTGCAATAGAAAGTGATGGTTTGAGGTAGCCTTGGGGGGACTTTTTTTCCACAAGCAGAAAAAAGCTAGTGTATACCATATCAAGTACGGTTTTTACAGGACTTTCTGCCCGAAGGCCTTTGTAAATAAGTAATGATCAACAGATTGGCTGTAGGTTTTTGAAAAGCATGCCTATGTCAGTTTGCATGATGGGGGAGAATTTTCAAAGTGGGTCTTGCTTTCATTGCCTGTTGGAGAGGGGCTGAGGGAGGCAGTCATCCCAGGTTGGAGCTGTCTGTTCCGTGGTACATCAGAATTGTTAAACATGGGTCAGGCGGGGAGCTGAAACATGCCAAGTGGCACAACTTGGGTTTCTGGTGTTGGTGCCTTTAGCCTGCCCCTGTGGCTACACTGCCAGCCCCCTCCCCCCAGGGGGTCATTCGCAGCTCAGCAGGAAGGGACTGTCCCTTGACATGTCAGAAGGTCTTAGTCACTCCTCCTTTACCATGACTTTCTATGTTCCCAGTGCTCTGCATACCATCTGTTGTGGACCCCAGACAGGGTGCTAAGCCCTTTCTCTATTCTCCTTCACGTCCAGCATGTGATGAAGGACCCATGGGCAGTCTGGTTTGGCTTGAATAGCTGCCACTGACAACGAGGTCGTCAGGGCCTATTTTGCTAGATCCTTCTTGTTGACAGAGAGAAAAGAGAGAGGCTCAAGCAGTATATTGTGGCTTCTCCAGGTCCCCCACCTTTTCAAACACTCCCTTTCTACTCTACAGAAGATGGGACTCCCAGGTCCTATTCCTTATGACTTGAAAAATCCATAAAGGAAGCTAATGACTTATTTGAAGTGGGCTTTTCAACAGGAGTTTGTGGCTTGCTGTTTGAGCAGAATCAATCATTCTGCATGTGGGCAGGTTTTAGTGGCCTATGGGCACTGATAGGAATAGCTACAAGAGAAACCAGAGAGCCCAGAATGGGTTAGGATGGGCTTTAATTTACCACTGTGGCTTCTGCAAATAAAACAGCCTCCCGCGTGAGGATTTCTTGCAGACCATCTGCCAGCACAAAATCCTATGGGGACTCTGCACTAATGGTCTTTGTCTCCCTTTTGTTCTGGTATCAGGCTCAGTGTCACTGAGCTCTCTGCACGATCATTAGGTGAACAGCCTCATTTTGTGTGTGGGGACCCTGATGCACTACATTTCTTAGTCACCCTGACAGAAAACAACCCTCACAGCCAGACTGAGCCAAATGGCGAGTGTCTGCACCCCAGGCCTGCGTCATGCTGGATGACCTTTGGCTCCATGCCCCCTGAGGAGGAGTGAGTTGCGGGAGCTCCCAGGCCCGTTATTTGCCTTGCTTGTTGGTCTCAATGTGGAATGGTTTAAGGAACCTTTCCTAGTTTTCCTCTGAAATCAGCAAGCTTCTGGTGCCCAGTTCTTCCTAGTTAGTGGGTTTGTGCCTTGTAAGGATAGCTGTGTATTCCTTCGATTATAAGGCCTTGGAGGGCTTAAACAACTAAGTCAAGGCTTCTTAATTTGGGAGTCTCACAGACCCCATTGCACATCCAGTGAATGCTCTCTGGAAAGTCTCTCTAGGGGGAAAAAAAGTACACTGGACCCCATTTTTACTACAGTTGAAGCAGATTCATGAATGCCCTAAATCCATGCCCAGGTTATAATTACATTCAGTTCTTTCCACAGCCACCCTCAAGTAGTGTTCACAGATGTTTTCTGGATACTGAGATATTTTTCCAGTGGGTGGACAGTATAGAGCAGACACTGTCCCGAGCCTTCACCCAGTATCCTCAAATAGAACCCTCAAAAGTGTACCTCTCAGCCATGTGCTTCCATGCCTCTTCTTAGAGTGATTCCCACCTGGCAAATGTTTAGGGATAGCCTACTGTATTCAAGGTGTGCGGACGGGTTTTGCGGGATGTAAAATAAGATGGATTAGAGTGGGTCTTTGTCTTCAAAACACTCAGTTTAATGTAGGAGAGAGAGATGTATATATGGCAAAATGAAACAGGGACAATTGGGGATACTGTCTAGCAGGAGCTATGAGAACAAAAGAGCTGCCATTACCTCTGGTTTAGGAGGCGGAGTCTGGCTGCTAAAGGAGGTTTCCTCTAACCTAGCCCTCTGTGATAAGGAGAATTCTCTACTTGTAATATCGCCTACCCTTGTTAATTGTTTACTGGGTGCTCAGTGTCATTTCAAGAGCATAATGCCTGGGAACTCCTTGAATCCTAGCGGTAACTCCATGAGAAGGAATTGCTCTTTGCCCCATTTTACAGATGGAGGCACTGAGTCACACAGCTTTCAAGTCTAGTAAATCTGGTTGGTCTTCCCTAACAGGAGAGATCTGAATCCAGGCAGTTTAGCTTCCAAGCCCATAGCATTAACTCCTCCACTGTTCTGCCCAATGAAGGAAATAGGAAATGTGCTTAGGCCATAGTAAGTGGCTTGGTGTGGCTGGAGCAAGGGGTCCCTGGAGGGGTATAGCTGGAGTTGAAAGCATGAAACTGTGCTGGCACCCACTGTCAGGGGCAGTGGGGAACCCTTGCAGGTTTTTGAGAAGGCAGCACCTTAACCTGTGTTTTAGGAGGATCACTGGTAACAGTGTAAGGAAGGGTTTAGAAGTCTCCTTCAGGACCTCCATGAAACATATGCTATGTAAATACCGAAGTGTAAAGTGAAGGCCCAGCCAGCTGCAGCCACTGCCAAGGTCCGCTGATGCCAAACCACCCAGGGTCTGCTGTAGATAGTGGACCAGCCATGGGCTGCACAGTCTCCCTAAGAAGGGCACACAGCATTCTTGACACTAGTCCATGTTTCACCTGTTTTCCAGGGAACTTGGATGAGATAGAGTAGCCATGGGCCTGGAGGATTTATGCCAGATGCGTTGGGTAGACAATTTACCAGAGTTAGCCCGCAGCCGAGCTAACAAGGATACTCAATGCTACCAAAAACACAGAAATTAAATGCTGTGAGGGGAGCTTCATGTCATGAGATGCAGAAAATATTAGACATGAGTTTCATGAATAGGAGGGGAAATATGATTTGAAGAAAACAGATTGTCCTCTTGGGCATTTACTGATCATTAAGTGAAATAAACTCCTCTGCTTGTTAAATTCCATTCGCTCCCCTTTGACTCATACTTTTCATGGGATCTTTTTATTGGGACTGCCAGTCTGAGAGGCTCTGGTAATAGAAAATGGCACAGTGAGCTAAGCCCTGTCAGGGTTGGGGACAGAATGCCACTCTCACAACCCCTTCCACTGGGCAGCATAAAGGCAGACAGGGGTGCTCAGCTAAGTAAGATCACCTCTTAATACACAAACAGATAGCAAATGATGGGCCCCCATGGGACTGCTGAAGAAAGAAATAGTGGGTCTCATCATACCAAGGCTTGGGTGGATTTGACACAGGTTCCTGGACACATTGATGCTCAGCAGAGGGTCATTATCCTGTCCTTTCATTTTAAGAGCATCTTGTACGCTTTCCTCTAGAACTGAAGAACATGTCAGTTCTCCCAAGCTGTCTCCCAAATGTAAAGGCAATAATTTCCTTCTTCCTCTGAGAATGGTGGCTGCCTAACAAGAGGTGACGTATGAGGTGGCAGCAGTTCTTGACTGTTTGCTTGTTAGGCAGGAAAAAATGTAAGTAGATAGGTACAAAGAAGTTGAGAAGAGCTCTAGTTTTGGCAGAGTGTCTCGGGCATGGCCTGAAGATTTTATCCAGGTGGCTCCAGGCGTGGCCGTCTGGAGGGACAGGGGGCAGGGGGATGGGCAGCCCTGTCTCAGCAGCGGTGACCCCTGCACGCGAGGGTGGAGGCAGTGGAGGAGGGTAAGCTAAGGCAGGAGCCAGAATCCAAAAGTCAGCATCCTTGCAAAAGAGCAGGAAATAATATACACCCATAAATAAAAGGCACTCCAGAATGAGGCAGGTCATTTATGATGCTGAAAACCCAAATAGCTGCTCTTTTGAGGAGACCACCTGAGACTCTCTCCAGGCTCACATGATCTGACATTTTTGAACATTGCATTCAAGGACTTAGTTACTAACTGCCATGTTTTTTATGGAGTGGAAGAAGAGATGGGGAGGAAGGAGAATAGAGGACTGAATTGTAAGTATTGCACTTTATAAGAACTAATAGTTCATTTGCTCTTTTATGTTTGTTTATTTGCTGATTAGCTCATGGAAATAGAGGTCAGCAAGAGAGAGTTTTTACTGTGGCGTCCCAGTAGTATTGATGCAACCCATCAAGTATTGAGATTGAACCCTTTTAGTTCCAGAGAGTCACAAAGAAAGTCAGGCAGGTAACCTGGATGTGCTTTTGTCCCCAGTGCATTAATTCTCCATTTGAATAAGGAGGGCCAGGACTCAGGTGAGACATATGAGGCACCTCCTTAAATTTTATACCCATATCCCCACTTGCATGATTCGAGTCCTGGCCTTGCTGAATAGAATCATAGCCTTCCAGTCTATATGGTGCCAACTGCTATTAACTTTGGTAGGATTGACTCAAACCACACAGTTTCTCCATCTGGGTAAATCTTTATAACAATGGTTCTCAAAGTTTAGCATATATTTGAATCATCTAGAGCACTTTCTTAAAGCAGAGCTTGATGCAGTAGGTTTGGGCTGAGCTCAAGAATCTGCATTTCCCTCAAGCTCCCGGGTGCTGCATCAGCAGTTGGTATAGGGCCACACTTTGAGAACCACTGCTTATTTGAGTCAGAGCCGTGACAGAAGCTTGATGCGATGGGGCCATCCTTGCAGAAGTGTTCAGACTTGGCATTGGAGCACAGAATAGATGCTTAGTTAAGAACACCTGTGTTGACCACCATTGGCTATCAAGGAGAGTCCTGCTGCTGATTGGAGCTGGTTCCAGGCACACTCCAGGCAGCCTGGCTGGTTAGAGCCATATTTCAGACCAGGATGCCTTGCTTCAAATACAGTCCCCATAAAGTGAAAAACAGTCCAAGAGCTTTGGTCATACCCAAAACAAATTGTCACAGGGTATCAAAGGTGAATGGGCTCTCGCGGGGCACATTTTCTGATTTCCATAAAAGGTATGGTGAGTTTCCATTGACTGGTTTAAGAGTTCAGAGACTAGAAATCATTCATCAGCTCCTCTTGTTAGCTGGTTGTTTATTGAACATATACTGTGTCCTCTGCTGGGTTTCAGAAATACACCAAAGAGTTAAATGGGAGTTCCCTGCTCTCAAGAAGCTCACCATCTAATGCATGAACCAGACATTCAAATTATTATCCTTGAAAAGGCATCTCTCACTCCTGTAGGAGTGCTCCTAGGAGGAGAAAACAATCTCTGTGGTTCTCAAAAAGGACAGCTTCAAGGGGAACACTTGAAGTAAACTTTAAAACCTCAGAAATGTCCTAATAGCCCTGCTATGGTGCCTGACTTATAATAGATCCTCAATAAATTAGTATTTGCCACTTGGATGAAAAGCCTGCAGACGGATGAGAAATTCACCCACATTTTAGTCTCACATTCCCCAGGGAGACCACAGCAGGGTGGGCCTTAACCTAAATGGGGGGTTTGTCCCCACAGGAGAGGCCTTCTGTGATGAGAAGTGAGGTCTCAAAGATCAAGCAAGGAAGAGGCTGAGGTTTTAAAACCATTTTTTAACTTTCCTCCTTAATAACTCTTTTTTGGTTTGTTTACTTGGACTTTAGTGTAAATTTCTGAAGTCCAGTGTTGAACCCAGTGCCACAGGAAAAAACTGGGCCTTGCTGTACCTGACCAAAGGGGAACTGTGCTCTTTAAAATGTGGTAGTGGCCTCCTCGCAGCAGGTTTGCAGGAAAAGGGATTTGTGGTTCTGCTTTAGGCAGCTGTCTTCAAGGCAAGCTTTTTGTGTTTCTGCTATAGCAGGGCATTTAGTTCACTTCCTGAGATTGATGGCAAACGGCTTTCCTTGCTCTGCAAACTCTCAAAACAATGATCTTTTATTCTTTATTTGAAGGCAGGATTGCTTAATTTCTAGCTGTGGACTTGGGAGGTGTGAGCAGAGATTTGAGAAGCAAAGGTGAGAAAAATTTAAGTCAGTGGGGCTCCTCAGTTGTTATAAAAATGTGGATATTCCTAAGTAGAGCCTTTAGATATTGGGATGTGGCAAAAGCTTGCCCAGCCTTAATTGATTATGGAGGCTGTCCTTAGCATAGTGTCTTGGCAAGGGCTCATGGGATAATTTTCTATTGATTATTCCCACGGGCTGTGCATCTTGCACATGCTAACTATGCTGACCTCCCTGTCTTTGCAGCTTAGGGCACTGTGGCTTGGAGTGCTGCAGTGGTCCAGCTGCTTCTGGTCAATGGGAGGAGGTGGGATGGGGGCCTCTGAGCTTCTGTCAAGGAGATCTTTCTGTTCCAAGCCATGCATCTCCTCTCACTATCTGTGTCACGTTAGCCATGTTACTTATCCACTCTGTTTCCCCTGCCTACAAATGGGTAATAATGGCAGCAATTACCTACAAGTATTATCATGAGGAGTCAATATAAAATGTAGGCAAGTTTTAGCATAGCAACATTTATAAGGGTTCAATTCATGCTGGTTGTCCATCATAATACAAGTAATAGTAGTAACTGCATCTTTCTTATTGAACTGCTCTACCTTTACTCTCTCCTTTCACCATTATAAGAGGTACAGTCCATCCTGGACTTGCCATTGGAATGAAGAAGGAGATATCTAAGCTGGCCTGTGCATACAGTACAACAACAAATTTGACTGGATCTATACTGTCAGAACTCAACCAAGAATTAGGAGAAATGCAAGTTGCAG